TATCCAGTACCGATAGATGTCTAAAATGGAGTCGATGTCAGATTCTTGGATATTTTAACATCAGCAGAGGAGAGAGGGACTGAACCATAGCTGTGACGTTGGACCGACAACCACAGGTGAGATGAGAGCAGTGGCAGGAAGGTGAGTATCAACTAATGAGATGAATACTCCGGCAGGAACAAATAAAAAGTAAAAGAGAGGTACGGTGAAGCTAATGGATCAGATTTCAATGATATATGAGAGGTTTAAGATAAGATATAAGCAGCAGTATGTGCAAGCTGACTTGCTGGCTCCAAAGATGTGGGTGTTAAGGTAGGTAGCTATGATCGCGTCACGGGGTTTCTGCCTATCAGTCCTGTATGTAGCTACGAACAGCTAGTATCACATGATTTATGATGTATATATGAAAATAAATTGTGGAATATGACTAATACATGTATATTAACGTAATCCACGGCCGAGCTACGCACTTTCGCTGTCGCGTCAAAATACTATACTACCAATATTTTTCAACGCGTCCTTCTTCTAGTTATACCCTATAAATGTCTCTTTCTCAAGAGAATCGAATGCAAATGGCTGTCTCAGCTATTAAAAATAAAAAAGTTCAATCAAAATGAGAAGCTGCTGGCATATTTGGTGTACCTAAAGCTACGCTTCGCAGTCAGCTGAGAGGAATCAAACCATGATCAGAGACACGCGCTAATAGCTATAAACTAACTGCTATTAAAGAAGAAACTCTTGTCAAGTGACTTCTAGATGCAGATAAACAAGGTTTTTCAATTCAGCCAGAGTTTCTGCATGAAATGACACAGATTTTACTTCATGAATGTTCCTAAGATTCCACCGCAGTCCTTGGAGTCAACTGGGCCTATTCCTTTATTAAATGCTGTCCTGAGCTATGTATAAGATATAATTAAAGGATTACGTACCAGCGAGCAAAGCAGGAGGATCTAAAGGTTATATAGTGTTGGTTTGAAACTGTACATAAAGCTATTCAGGAACATGGCATCCATGAGGATGATATCTAGAATTTTGATAAAACTAGCTTTGTAATGGGACTTTATACAATATCTAAGGTTATCACTGCAGTGGATCGCAGTGAAAGACCCTGTATAGTTATTTAAGGGAATTATAAATGGGTTATAATCATTGAATGTGTGAGCTCAAAGGGGGTTTCTATACCACTAGTTGTTATCTTGAAGGGGAAAGAGCAACAGGCTATCTGGTATTAAGAACTAGTAGTTCCTCAAAGCTGGTTAATTACAAAGAGTGATAACAGCTGGATAACTAATATAATAGGCCTTCGCTGGCTTCAGGAGGTGTTTGAACCACACTCTAGGCGGAATCTAACTAATATAAAGAGATTACTTATTCTTGATGGCCATTCTAGCCACCAGACTGCAGAATTTGATGCTTTCTGCAAGGAAAATGCCATTATCTGCCTCTGCATGCCACCTTATACCTCTCACCTTCTGTAACCACTGGATGTGGGTGTTTTTGGCCCGCTAAAATATGCCTATGGGAAATTAGTCAAAGGAATGATGGTTACTGGAAATAACTATATTAATAAGGAAGACTTTCTACATCTATATCTATCTGCGTGTGAGAAGGTCTTTAATCAAAAGAATATATATAGTGGCTTTGCAGGCGCTGGTCTTAAACCTTTTAATTAAGACTGGGTGCTTAAGAAAATTACCTTTCAACTTTGTATACCTACACCACCACTGCCTGTTGAAGGCTCAATCTCTTCTGCATTTCAAACACCGCAGAATCCTCAGCAGCTAGATCACAAGATCTGTAGCCTGCAAAGAAGTCTTTAGAAAAGGAAGCTTTCCAGCAGTCTAGTATCATATATCCAACATCTTGAAAAGGCAGCATAAATAGCAATAAATATGAACCTTCTTCTGAAACACAAAATTAAGGTTCTACAGGCTGAAAACAAGCAGAAAATGAAAAAGAAGGCAAAGAGGCATGCTAATCTCAGTGATGAAACTCTTTTATCTGTATAAGAAGGTCAAAATCACGTTCAGCAGCTTGATATACTGTGAAATAAGCAGGTTTCTGAGTCTGCACCTATGCCTCGCTAGCGAGCTCCACCACACTGTAGTGGCTGTTGGTCTATTAGATATATAATAAGAAGTTGCCCTATTAAATAGCTATTTATTTCATATTCCAGATAGTTTAATTTATTGGTGTTGATAGTTGAAGAGCTTTAAAAAACGTAGTGGGAGCAGCGAAAGTGCGTAGCTCGGCCGTATGCGTAGCTCGGCCGTGGATTACATTAGTTACTACATAACTTTGCAAGCACTATCTTAATAATGCTCATGGCACTGCAAGCCTTATGACAGACGGAAATAGTTCCCAAGCAGTAGAGAGGTATTAATGTTTTACCACCTTTTCCTTTGATAAAACTCATGACTTATGAGAGGTGGGTGTCCTCTGTCATATATGGCCAAAGTTCACCACAAATCTCTAGTATTAGCTTGTGAGGCTGTTCACTGCGCATGAAGCAGAAGATGCCCTGCTTTTGTTGATTGTACACTGTACAAGCCCCCGCTTTAAGTAAACTCATCTTGTTACGTGCCCAACCTGTTGCTTCGAGTCCCAATTTCTTGGGCATCCCACGAATTATTTGGATTTCTTATCGCCTTCGAAAGTCCTTCAATTTTTCTCCTTCTTGGTCCCAACCGTTCTCTTTCCAATTTCCTAATCTCTGCTTGGTGGTAGAGTCATCAGCTCGATTCCAGTCTCTGTCTGCCACGCTCTGTAGACATATTCATTATATACTACGCATATCCCGCCCTCACCCCTGCTTGACGTCCCATAATCGCTAGACGGTATTGTCGATTGATCTTTTCTCTGCCTACACGTCGGCCAGCACTCCCGAAATGTCCTCCTCAATTCTGCATACGTGTGCCTTTTGCGGAAAAATCACAGACGTGTCTACCGCGCTACCAGCATTCATTATGGACCCTTGTTGTGCAGAGGTGGGGATCTTTCCTTGCCCATCCTCAGTCTGAGCTCCTGACTAGTGACGGATTCAGTGTGGCCTATCGGCGTCTGAGAGTAATATTGCAATGCAGAATGACCTTGCGACGCTCTTTGCAAAGCAGATGAGCGTGGGGTCTAAACCACCAACGGACAAAAAAGTCCTCCGTCCGATCATTTATAGTATCACACAGCACTACCATCATTCCTCGCATGTGGCGCGCCATCCAGCAACAGACCCCATGGACTTAAGCTGATGCATTTGATCGGCGGGAGGGGCTTCATTGCTCAATATAGCTGAATTGTGATGGAAGAGACGCTTACATCTCCGACCCCTTAGTCTAGGATCCACATTTTGTGTTGATTTTCCGTCTATTTATAGGGAGGTATTGTTTCATTAGGTCTATTGAGCGGTGACCTTGGGATGCACCTAGGTGGCGCAACCCTCTCGAAGCCAATATGATAATCAAGCATGGGGGCCTTATCTAGGTACACTATCATGGCTTCGAACGACCACAAGAGATAGCCCATGTACGTTCCGGTAAAGTCGCAGCAGAGTAATTCCATGAATTCATACATAGTAAGAGTTTGGAGATATGACTTAGTGAATTATCTTTGAGCGTATCACCCTGCCCTTGTTCATCTGGCATTGTCAGCACGGACTTTTGCTCTATCACTCGGACTTTGTCCTTTTGAAACTATCTGGGAGAGCTGATCTTGTTAGTATAATTGCAAGGACTGGCCTGTGGCAGTGGTGGACTCCCATCTGCGAGCCCCTTCCTCTGTTTTGATGATGGTGGGGTTGCTCAACCACATCAGGGTTATCTGTGGATATACCAAGATTATCAGATCTAATATTGGTGAAATATCCAAATCAGAGTCATAACGTATCCCCATGGAGAGCTTGATCACCAAGGTAGTAGGTATTATTCCTGTACCTCTCATAGTGGCAGCCTATCTGGCAGCGTACATTTATGCAGTCCTGCACTGCTGGTTATGAATACCTTTATAGGGATAGGAATAATAGGTCCAACTGAAGCAATCTGCCTGGGTTATCCTGCTTCGTGTATTTTCAGGTAATCTCGGGAGTCAGAATTCCAGAGGCTATAATAATGAGACTCGCTTCTGTTTATCTAAATTCTTATGCTACCGCACCTATGCACTGATGAGGATTTGTATTGTATCTAGGAATATAGTGATTTATAAGAATAGTTACGCTCTCCTCCACGTTAGGCACTAGTGAAAGTCAAAGAAGACCATGATTGGTCCAAAGTGGATTAATGTGCACTGTTACTGTGATGCCCTAGCACTTAAGGAATTAGATTACTCAACGAAAGACTACAGTCTTGTTCTCCAGGGCTTTATGATACGGCTTCTTACAAACATCACACCTCATCCGCGTCATTTTACCACAGGCCAAACAAGTACACATAAGTTAATGTGAGGCAAATCTTGCAGCAGCTTGGAAGGTGATGATATATGCCAGCTCAACCATTGTAAGAAGAAAGAATGACAGGTTAGTTGTCCGGCCAGGGTGCCATGGAACACAAGGCCGTTCTGCCTTATATATGTCCAGCCCCTATGTCAAAACACAATATTAACACGAATACTTGGAAGCAAAACCCCTGCTCGTCCATCAGCGTTGGGACACTTCATATTCCCCTTCGAATGGGGCCGCCACGTATTAAGACGACCCTGCCTCGGTCCCACACCCCAAACTTCATCAGCCAAGCGAATAATCGTAGTCATGGTTGAAGAGAACGTCGGCAGTACATGGCGCGCCAAAATCAGACCTGTGACATCTCGCCTCAGTAAAGATTCATAACCAGCCCGAGATACTCCGGGGTACGACGTATCTCAAAACGACTGCAACAGAAGTAAAGAGCATACAGCTTCAGAGAAGAAAGAAGGGGTTCGGTAAAGGCGAAAATAAAAGCAAAAAGAGAATCAAACTGGTCGAAAGAAAAAAATTCTCATTGGTGGAAGACCGCAAGGGGAAATACCAACTCTGCCTATTCCTTCTCAAAAGCAGCCATGGCTTCAGCAAAGGCATCGGCAGAGCGCTTCACCTCTTCAGCTGCCTCGGCGGCTCTCTTCGCCTTGGCGCAACCCTGACCGGGAAGATGGCACCACGGAGTCTGCGGGAAGGCTTCCGCAACAGCCTCAGCGACGGCACTGGCTGAACGTCTGACCTCATCCGAGGCATCAGCAGCGCGCTTAAGCATGTAGCAACCCTGACCAGGAAGATGGCACCACGGCGTAATGTCTGCCTGGACAGCAGTGGCAGCGAAGGTAGCAAGAACGAGCGAGAGGAGTCTCATTTTCGATTATCAAATGAAGTGGAGATATGGAAAGAAAGTGTCACTGTAGGTTGCAAAGTAAAGCCTGGCTCTGAAATTGAATTGACGGCTTTGGTATCAACCAAGAGATCGATTCGAGGCAGGTCTCATGCGCTTTAAGTAGGCACATGGTACAGAGACCTTGCCAAATGCAACGCATGAGATGCATTCCCAAGTCTTGAGTGGTTCTATTCAACATCTGATGAGAAAGCTTTGAAGCAGAGGAATGAATAAGAAGTGTGCATCCCGTGAATAGATCTCAAGCAACAGCAATCGCAAAAGCACCTCCTCAGTGAGAGGTAGCCTTTGTGTTATTGATCCATAGTTTTAAAGTAGCATTGAAGTTGACCAGGATCCACCCAGGCCAATTATTCACCTAGAGAATCTGTTATCATGATGGATGAAAATGCGAATAGCAGGTGATCAAGGCACTTATGCGCATTCAATAGTGTCTATTGACACTATTGACAGACATTTCTAACCAAAAAGGGCCATCAATAAAGTTAAGCTCCTCAATAAACTTTTGCATCATCTCTTTCTTTCAGCGGTATTTGAGAGAGGTCTCGAGGCTGATTGGTAGATTGCCAGAACAGAAAATATACTCGCAATGGACTGCAACAGATGTGATTAAGGAACAGAGGAATATTCGCCTTGGGTACAGGGAGGTACAATAATCTCTCCAGCCAGCAGGCAAAGCAAAAGAACTTTTGGTTATGATGTATCTCTGTACGGAGTACTCCGTGCTTAGCAATTATACTAATGAACTGTTAGAGTGTCTGGCGATACCTTGCAGACTATAGTAATTATCACCAGCAGTTATTCTTTCCACTTCTTCTTTATCCACTGTTAATCAATATTCAGCGCATAGTTACCTACTTCTATGGTGAGGACTGATGATATTATGACGCGGAGAGGGGGAAAGATAAGATCGGGCCGTGTTCTGAGCAGCAAATAATACATAGAAAGGACGGGAGGACGGAATACACACCTTACTTGGTGGATGCCGAGATGATCCGCCGTTTTTTCCGGCGCCTCCTTCCTCGTGGCCGTGCACCTCGTTTTCCAACTCCATCTGTCTTTTTGCCTGCGCGTTTTCTTGCTCACCAGGGACCAATTCTTTTCATCTCCTCTCTTCCTGTCCATTTTCCTTTCTTGTCCATTGCCTGCCAAAATGTTCTCCTTGCGGACGGCGCAGCCCGCGCAGGTTAGTAAGACCCTACATCAGATAGATTGTGTGACTCGTGGTCGGGCTTTTTCTCAATTCTTGTCCATTTTCCCCTTCTCTATCTGGCTACTTCTCTCCGCCCTGCAGCAGCATTGCAGCAACTTTTTCATTCCCCGTGCCTCGACGTCGAGTTCCTGTGTATCAAAGCTAATTTCTTTCTGTTCTGCAGGCTTTCCTACGCCGCGCAGCTGGTGCAGGCTCTCTAGTCCACTCCTCGATCCCAGCAAGATGTACGTACCTTCAATACTTTTGCAGCAGGACTAGCTGTTTTCCTATGACATTGATTGACTTGGGTCTTCAGCTTTTGCTAGCGTGCAGTCCGACATCTTCAAGCCCACGAAGTATGGCGGCAAGTACACCGTTACTCTCATTCCAGGTACCTATAGCTCACCCCAAGCCTTGCCCCGAATGTCAGTGGTCGGTATCGCTGACATGAGAATTTTTCCTCTGTGATGCAAAGGTGATGGTATCGGTGCGGAAGTTGCCGAGTCAGTCAAGACCATCTTCAAGGCCGACAACGTTCCTATTGAATGGGAGCAGGTAGATGTTAGCGGTGTTGATACAGGCAACAAGCATTCGGAGGAGCTCTTCAAGGAATCCATTGCCTCTCTTAGACGCAACAAGCTCGGTCTTAAGGGTATCCTGTTCACCCCTGTTGAGCGCTCGGGTCACCAGTCATTCAACGTTGCTCTCCGTCAAGAACTCGATATCTTCGCTTCGATCGTTTTGATCAAGAATATTCCCGGTTACAAGACACGGCATGAGAACGTTGACCTCTGCATTATCCGTGAGAATACCGAGGGAGAGTACTCTGGTCTCGAGCACCAGTCAGTACAGGGTGTGGTCGAGTCGCTGAAGATCATCACCCGTGCCAAGTCAGAGCGCATCGCTAAATTCGCGTTCGGATTTGCTCTCGCCAACAACAGAAAGAAGGTCACCTGCATCCATAAGGCAAACATCATGAAACTCGCCGATGGCTTGTTTCGCAGTACTTTCCACAAGGTCGCCGAGATGTACCCTACTCTGGAAGTTAACGACATGATTGTCGACAATGCATCCATGCAGGCCGTTTCTCGGCCCCAGCAATTCGACGTGATGGTCATGCCTAACTTGTACGGAGGCATTCTATCCAACGTTGGCGCTGCCCTTGTCGGTGGACCTGGTGTGGTTCCTGGCTGCAACATGGGACGTGACGTTGCGGTCTTCGAGCCCGGCTGCCGTCACGTTGGCCTCGATATCAAGGGCAAAGACCAGGCTAATCCCAGTGCTATGATCCTTTCTGGATCCATGCTTCTTCGCCACCTTGGCTTGGACGACCACGCAAACAGAATCTCCAAGGCGGTGTATGATGTGATTGGTGAAGGGTGAGTTTATTGCTATCGTCTTTTTCGACACTCCAGTTTCGGCTAATTCTCACATCTTCAGTAAAACGAGAACTCGCGACATGGGTGGACAAGCCACCACTCACGAGTTCACCAGGGCCGTCTTGGACAAGATGGAGGCTGCTCTGTAATTACTCCCGATACCACTCATCTCCTTTCTGCAATTCTCATGATGACGACAAAAAGAATGGTCTGTTGTCGTGTTTTCTGAAGGCCTTGCTAGCTGCTCAGACCTATGCTTATACTTTGTAACACTTGCAACCGCATACAATGCAATAAGACGTCTACTGTATATTCGATAAACATGACTGTGGGATAGGGAGTAAGTGTTAGATGCGTTGCTATGAATTAAGGTGCTTGAAAGTTTGCTTTTGTCCAAATCAAGGGTATCATCAATCGGCAGTAATCCATGAGCCTATCTTTGCTCCACGAGCTTCCACACAGCATAAGACGTCCTATCCCAGGCTTGACACAGCAACGGAAATCTCTTAGAGGATGGTCCGCTGCCCATTCCGAACCAATAGGACCCTGTGAGGAGCGGCTCTAATGTGAAGGCATCCCTTCGAGACCGACCCATCTGTTAAACATTTTGTAATCTTCATGAGAGCAGGAAGGCCTTTCCTCGGGATGTCAAACGAACAACATATCGGATGACTGCTCAATCCAGTTCACCGCACAAACAAGCGCTCCGCCAAGTAGTCTCTAGCAAGGAATCTGTTGACCACTGCGTTGCGTTGATTTAGCTGTACTCCTCGCAATGGACGAGTGACCCGGAGCTGTGTAAATTGTGGCACACGGCCGGACAGAGCATCTCAAGTTAAAACGCAGGACGCCTCTTTCTTCCGGTGTATTTGGAATTTGCTTTCACGATTTTCCCTTTCTTCGCCATTTGCTCCTTTTTTCGCAAAATCCATGCTTTATCTCCTTTCCTGGATGGCTGGACCTTGCTGCGCTCCGCGGCTTTTCTCCTGGCATCCAAGATGTCAACATCGTTCATGCCTTGGACAACGCCAGTAATATCGCCATGCAGTCCACCACCTCCGACGGTCAGCACGAGATATAGTTTGCCATTCTTTGTGCCAGGGTCATCTTCTAAGATACCAGCTCCGAAGCCAGCTCTTACGGCAGCGCCGCTAATCATGGCCCGTTGCGCATCATTCTTTGGATAGAATTGGCAGACAGCACGTCCCCCTCGGCGAAGACTGGAGTACAATCCCTCAAAAAATCTACGAAGACGGCCCTCGGGGCTGACATCGCTTGTCTCCGCATTGCACAACCACTGGATAGCACTGATACTGATAGCCGCGTCGAAGGTGCCAGGCCGAAATGGCACGCCCTGTCCAATATCAGCCAGGAGCAAGTCACCCTCCACATCTCGTTGCAGTGCCACATCAAGCATGCTTGGTGAAATGTCCATCCCGACCCAGGTATGAGGTCCACCCTCCTGAGGAGGAACTTGGGAAAGGATCTCGCCAGAAAGTCCGGAACCGCACCCCACATCGAGGATGAGCGATGGAGAACGAAGGTCAAGGAGCTCCAGCGCTCGATGGGTCATGTCTGCTTGAATGTTACGAATACGGGATGAAGTCGTGTATTTTCGTGATTCATTGTCATCGTAGAAAAGATCGGGAGGCCTTTGCGTAGGGGATTCGAAAACTCATGTCAGCACCAAGCTTAAGGGAAACAACAGCAAGAGTAAATGCTTTCGCATTGAGATAACCCACAGAACATCCTCAGGACGTGACATGGCTGGTAAGGTGAAATGAATCGCAGATCCACCAAAGATACGTATCGGAAAACGCCAAAGAGAAAGCTCTACTGCTTCTTGTGGCTCAGCAGGGTCTCAGTTCAACAGGGTGAGTGAGAATTCTTCAATTGTAACTGTGAACCACTGTGCTGGGAAGTTTATTTGGTAACCAAGCTGCCTTCGTCCCGTTCACTCTTCGAATAATATCTCGCTATTGGGGTGAGGGGACTTTTTGGTTTCTTTTTCTTTTTTTTTTTTTTTTTTTTTTTTCCTCTCTTCTGCTTTATCCACCATTTCTTATCCACCATTTCTCCTATCTGATGACGGCACGGTGGCTGATTTGCCCGCTAGCGCCCTTAGGGCCTGAGGCATCAAATCGCAGCCGTCCGGTTGTGGATGGAGGCGTCCAGCTTTTGAGATAAGGTAGGTGCCCACTATAGACCACCGAACATATCAGACATGACTGGCCCACCATAACGCCCAGACGCTGTGTTCGATACCCTTTCACGACATGTTATAGAGGCACTGGCATTTCATACTCTCCTCTTGGGCTTTCTTGCTTCCCGTTCGACTCCCTTCTTGTCGATTCGTTTCCAATTCTATTCCAGGGACAGCTAGACGTTCTACT